TATTTTTATATATATATATATATATATATATATATATATATATATATATATGCAATTTTAAATTCCTGAGATATTTGAGCAACTAGGTGATATTAATTGGATGAGTCAATGTATTACCAGGCCATTTCTACTGTAAATATAACCGATTTCAGAAATCTTTTGAAAAACAACTTTTTAGACAACAGTTGTATAATTATCCATCCACTTTTATAACACAGTACCCTTCTTCCGTGTGTCTCAGTCATTAAGCTGCTTTATATCTCCACCTTACTCCCACAGCATGGAAGGATTATGGAAATGATCTGGCCACAAAACTGGTAAGTGTTGTCATTCTTTCCCTGACCCAGTTAAGCAAGCTGGTTGAAAAATCTTTGCTGTTTTTGGTTTTGCCAGGGAAAACCCACATTTTCTTTCAAGCTGATCCAACCTCAAACTTCCCCACCTGTTCTCCAGTCCAGGGATCAAACCAAAAAATCAATTACCCTGGGCAAATCTGGGTGTTCTCTCAAGCCCTGCAGGTGGTTTGAGAAACCCCCTGGCAGAGCGTGTCTCCATCCCCCTCTAGTGACAGACCCATGGAGAGGACCACAGCCCTGCACCAGTGCCAGCCGGCCAACCCCTTCGCATGGCCACGCAGAGGAAGGCAGCATCATTCCCTGCCACAAAAACTGAAACAACTTGTCTGTTTTTTTAAAAACACTACAAAATCACTAAGGACAGTTTTCACACAGGACAGGTTTCATTTACCAACTGGGCTTCTATTTGGTATTCTCCCTTAAAATTTAGGGCAGATCTGTCTTATTATTTATTATACACTATCCCAATCATGCTCTGGATAGAGAAGACTTCATTTCTTCTGTCAGTGAAGCATTGAATTATATTAATTTTTGGCAAACATTAATTAAGTATCCACCCAAGAGCCCTGTAGGGTAGGAGGGCTTTAATTACAGGACAGCAGCATGAGGATGAAAGCCAAACCTATTACCTGATCTTGTCTCTTCAGAGACCAAGGAACAAAACAGATGTGTATGTTCTTGTTTTTGTAGTTGTCCAGCAGTGCATTGGAGCACCATGACAGAGAGGACAAGTTCCAGTTTTCTAGGTTGGCAATAATCTGCCTTTTGCTTGAGACAGACCATCCTCTCTTTCAACCATCTCAGCCTCATTGGCTTTATGACCGGTAGTTTTGAGCTTAAATGAGCCTGGATTCCTACTGGAAACAATTTCTGTCTAAATGCTTTACACCTCCTCTCAGCTCATACATCTGTTTAATGAACGGAAAAAAAAGGCAAGAGGTGGTGAGAGAGGAAGGTATGATCATGTATGTAAGGAATGCATCACAGTACATAAGCACACAGCAGTGAAGTTAAGGTTGCAAAGGGGACTGGAATTCTTATGTTGTAGCTGCTAGACTCTGCCACTGCAATATTTTTGTATACTTATTATGTCATGTTAACTGCTGCATCCAAAATAGTAATAAAATGCATAATAAAAATAAGTCACAGCCTATTCACATCTAATTATGATTATGTACAACCACCTAAGGACCCTAATACACTCCTCTGTAAAAACTGCAAGGGCTTAAGTGGGTTAGCCATGTATTAAAACTTCAAACTTGAAATCTCTCTCTAGCGTTAAAGTAACAAACTTAAAATACTGGTATTTGCAATATTCTTTACAGACTGAGAAATATTACCTTTGGAAAACCCCAACTTTTGTGTAACAGTTCTTGCAATTTTAGATGTTGTTGCATCACTGTAAAGATACACTTCATCCACACTGTGCCAGTCCACATGGTTGCGACTCAACTTTAGACTATGAATAGCTGCAGTAAAAAGGAACAATATTTAATTTCGATGAGTAAGTTAAAAAAAAGCCTCTTAGAGAGAAAGAGAGAGAGGAGGGTATTTTGCATACAAGTTAAAATCTAGAGCTTCATTATACCTAAATCTGTATCATTTCTTACCTTTTTACATTTAGGATTAATCTGACCAGGACAAGCAGCAGTTTGGAGAACACCTCTGAGGACATTTCACACCATTCTCCTCTCACCCTCATTTTGGGATGGGAGGTTTCCAAAATATTCCCTCAGCTGAAAACAAAAACCAGGGGGTGGCAGGGCAACGCATGTTGAAATACTGCGAGTTGCTGTGACGCCCAGGTGGCTGTCCCCATGCACTCTCATCACTAGAAAAAGAACAATTTTACCCCTATCTTATCTCTCCTGTGTCTGTACAGCGAGATCCCTGGTTTTTGGCTGCACTCAGTGGTTACACAGAGCCTTTCAAGGGTCCATTACTAGAAGGCTCCATTGCATTTCTTTCCTTTCAGAAATATCTAGGAGCTGGAAACGCAGTTCACTGAGAAAGCCTCTGAATGAGTAATTTCTGGCACAGAACAGAATCTAGCTCTTTCACAAGCCACTAAGAGCTCTAGTGTTTTTTTGTGCAGTTATTGTGTTTTCCAGATTTGGAACTGATTGAGCTCTGGGACCAACCTCATGACACACTGCCTGATTGTCAGGATTAAGCACAGCAGACATTATAATGCAAGTCAGAACCTCTCATCTAAGGCTTAGAGCTTGCTTGAGAAAAGCAGTACCACTGCTGTATTGCTAGTAATTCAGATTTCACCTGAGATTGGAATCTGCTGCTTAGGTCTCATCTAACATGGAATGCACAACATTTGGAGAGCTGACAACAGCAATAGCCCTGTGACAGAAAAAAAAAGTGTTAAAGTGTCAACGATCTTGCTAAAAAGTTCAAAGTTATGGAAAACACCCAGAGGGGATGTTTTGTGGTTTGTTTTTTTTGGGGGGGTGTTGTTTTTTTTTTTTTCCATAACAAGTGGTGCTCTAACCCGTCTCCTGCTTGAAGCCACTCAAATAAGCTTTCTATACTCTTCAAAAAACATTCCGAGAAACCCTGTGCCATCACTATTTCATATTTTAAATCTGCTACAGCACAATGTTAAACTAGATATTGTGACCTTTCTCCTGTAGTATTTTTTTTCTTTGCTAAGGCAGGTAGACTTGACAGTCTGATGGAAAACTAAACGAAGTCTGTAAGAAAGAAGGGGATTAGAAAAGGATTGCCCCTTCTGTAAGAGTAGTCAATTGATTCACAAAAATAACTACAACTGTATTAGTGTTTTACACTGGCAGGCAAGAAGCCTAACTTTGAGGAGCAGGCATGTCATCTTAGGGTAATGGCTGGCCAGAGCAAGAAGCAATCTAGTGAGAACTCAATTAACACGTTTTCACAAACATCCTTGTAGGCGCAGAGATGAGTCCGTGTCCAGAAATCTCCATTTAGAACTGGAGAAGGAAAGGAAATTCCCAGCAAAACTTCCTCTTTCAGACTTGGAGACAAGGCAACAGACTGTGATGTCCTGAGACAGGCATGTAGCCTAGTGGCAAAGGCAAGGGACCTCCTTGCAGATGTCTCTGCAGTCTCCTCCATCCTCAGTTCCATGATCAGCGTAGACTCTTTACACATTGTCTAGCAGGTTTTTAAGAGCTGTTCCACCTGTATTCTGTAAAATCCCTCTCAGAGTATGTTCCTGGGGAGGCTGACCGAGAAGGCTGGAAGCTTGCTGCCTGTGGAGAGTGCTGTGTGCCATGTCCAAAGGATGCAGAGAGAGAGATGGACAGGCCTGTGGCGAGTCACTTATCACCACTGGAAGAACAGCAGTTTGGGGAGGAGCAATCCTCAAACTCTTTCTGGAATCAAGTGCACCCTCTCTATTGGAAAGAATATACAGAAAGAAGGTTTCTCCTACCTTGCATGACTTATTCTCTCTTGGGAAGAACAAATTCCTAGCTTTTAGGGCCTTCTTCAAAACCACATACATTGAAGGAGACATCAAAATGAACTACAGCACACGCAAGCACTGAGGAACTGCGAATGAACTATCCAACATATTTCTCTGCATATCTAATAACGTTTTCAAAGGGGAACCTGAAAAATCTGGTCTACTCTTAACACAAGCACCAGATGAAAATACCAGTAACCTTCAGCAGGACCATACTTCCCTGTCTCTTGACAACAGAGTAACTTACCTCTCTGAGATGTGTTATCGTGCACATTCAATTCAAGCTCAAATGCAATTTTTAAAGCACTTGGACTATACACCCTTGCTTTCTACCCAACACCCAGGGAAAAAAAAAAAAAAAAAGAAGAAAAAAAGTGTTTTTTTGTTCTTGCTTCTCAGTTTTCCTTCAACCAGAAAACATCAGGACTTTTTAGGGCAGTGGCAGTATCTTAAACATGAAAAGCATTTGCTTTTCAGAGAATCTACTAATTTGACTGTAAAATGATACACTTTACATTTTTAGTTGACATATTTACATTCTAATTTGCATCTCTTAGTGAATTTTGTTTACCAACACGTTCACTGCTTGGCTTTCAAGTGACAAGTGAACACTCCAGAGCAAAGTCCAAACCAGCAGTAGAGACTCAATCACTGAAGAACAGCGACTGCAGGACATTTCCAAGGCACCATCCACTCCGGTGCAGTATTTTGCACAAGTCTGGGTAACACCTTCCAGGGTGTCTGTCCTGCCAACCAGGAGCAGACACATTCCTTCAGAAGTTAACAAGAGTCACGTGGGTCAAAACAAACCAAGCTGGGTCTCCACCTTGGCACCCTACTTTGAAATCCTGTGGGATGCACTGTTTAAAAAGTCTGCCTCTGGATCAACACACCCATTGCCACCCTCTTACTGAGGTGGGGTGAGATTGTGTCTCCCCTTTTTAAATTTATATAAACACAGAGATGTCTGTTCATCCTCAGACCCCCGATGTGACCACAGAATCATGGCGTGGTTTGGGTTGGAAGGGACCTTCAAGATCATCTCGTTCCAACCCCCTTGCCATGGGCAGGGCCACCTTCCCCCAGCCCAGGTTGCCCAAAGCCCCGTCCAACCTGGCCTTGAACCCTTCCAGGGAGGGGGCAGCCACAGCTTCTCTGGGCAGCCTGTGCCAGGGCCTCACCCCCTCACAGGGAGGAATTTCTTCCTTACATCTCATCTAAATCTCCCCTCTTCCAGTTCAAAACTGTCACCCCTCATCCTATCCCTACATGCCTTGGTAAAAAGAGTCCCTCCCCCCTTTCAGCCCTGGGGGGCCGCTCTAAGCTCTCCCCAGAGCCTTCTCTCCTCCAGCTGAACCCCCCAACTCTCTCAGCCTGTCCTCACAGGGGGTGCTCCAGCCCCCCAGCATCTCCATGGCCTCCTCTGGCCCCGCTCGAGCAGGTCCGTGTCCTTCTGCTGTTGGTGCCCCAGAGCCGGACCCAGCCCTGCAGGGGGGTCTCCCAGAGCGGAGCAGAGGGGGAGAATCCCCCCCTCGCCCTGTGCCCACCCTGCTCTGGGTGCAGCCCAGCACACCGTTGCCTTTCTGGGCTGCCAGCGCACGGTGCTGGCTCACAGGCAGTTTTCCACCCACTCCTGGGGGCTGCTCTCCAGCCCCTCCTCGCCCAGGCTGGGTCTGTGCTGGGGATTGCCCCGACCCACGGGCAGGACCGTGCCCTTGGCCTTGTTGAACTCCACGAGGTTTGCAGGTCCCCCCTCTCCAGCCTGTCCAAGTCCCTCGGGATGGCGCATCCCTGCCCTCAGCGTGTCCCCACACACAGAGCTCTGGGTTGGCAGGGAACTTGCTGAGGTGCCTCCATCCCACTGTTGGTGTCACCGAAGATGTTAAGCAGCACCAGTCCTGGCATTGACCCCTGAGGTCCACCAGTGGAACAGAAATGCTCCTAAGAAGGGAAAATCTATCACTCTGAGCTCCAGGCCCTCTTACTGTGCAAGAATATCCCTTCAAAACAGGAGTTACAGCCCACATGATGACTGTCATTGCGCTTTCTCTGTCCTTACATAAGACTCTGTCCCAGTGATAACAATGTCTGGGGAGAAAAAAATGGCACACCCTTGCAGATTTGCATGGCAGAAACCCAACTGAGAGAAGAGCTGCCTAGCTGAGATCTGTCACAGGGATAAACAATCCACAAGCCATGTGTGCACGCACAGCTAGGCAGAGACAGTGGTTATCTGTCACTATGCACAGGAGATAATTTAGGTAAAAAAAAAAAAATATTGAACCTGCAATAAGGTACCTCTTCACAAGGGCCAACATCGTTCCGGAGACTGTGAAGAGATTCTCAAGGCTTTTGAGAGCCCAACCAAAAGGAGCTTCTGCTGCTGACAGTCCCAGGGTGTGTTAATAGTGAGGCAGGAAAAAAAAAAAAAAAAAATCTTTGGAAAGGATTTGA